GATGCCCTGCAGCTACAGAAGATGGTCGCCGGCGCCCTTATCCGCGGCCACCGCTGAACCGCCTCGACTCGCCTATTTAAGAAAGCCCCGAGCCCGTTCCCGCACACAGGAAACCTCAGGCCACCTCCATGGCGCTTCCCTAGCTCGCGATCGACCCGGGGAGGTTTTCTTCCCCGTCTCCGGCAACTCCTGCCGCCACCACCGCCCCGGCCATTCCGGCACCACCAGGGCCTCCCCCTCTCCACTCTCTCCACCAGGAACTCTCTCTCCCTCCCGTGAACCTTTCCTCCTACTCGATTTCGATCGGGAACCACCGCAGCCCCAAAACCACTTTGCTCCCGAGGCCTCCTCCGCCGCGAAGCTCATCGTCGGCGACTCCCTCCACCCCCGCCGACCCAACGACCACCGCGAGGACCGCCCCGGTCTTGCGGATCCATCTCGACTCTCTGGAGCCCACGGGGAGCAGCCATTCGCCGGCGTTGATCGCCTTCGCCTCGCCTCCGTTCGGGCGAAGGAAGAAGGAGGGATGGACTAGTCAAACCTGACCAGTGGGCCCCCTAGACCCACTGTCAGTGACCCCGCCCCAGTCCACATGGGTTAAGTGGAAGCGTATTTCCGAAATACGCCTTCGACGTGTACGTAAATATTCGAAACGTTTTCTTTTTCTGTTTTATTTTAAATAGCAGATTTTGACCAAACTTTGACTGGGTATATCTTATTAATTACAATTCCTAATAAATTAATTCTTTTTCCTACCTCTCTCAAATATTGTCTAGTTTATTTTAAGATTTATTTGAAAAAATTTCAAAACAAATTTTTGTGTTGTTTTGATTTTGTGTGTTAATTCATATATATTTTCAAAAATAGGATTTTGAAGAGAGGAGAAAGATTTCAAGATGTTTTGGAATGCACCCTTCTTTCCCATGACCTGAAGGCAAGCATTCTGAACCCTGGTGTAATTTTTGTGTGTGTTGTTTGACTCGGTGACAACAACACCCCGACACGAGCATACGTCATTTTATGTGAGGATGTGATCCTACTCATGAGTGCATGTTAATGATTTTTATGCTGATGAGTTGATATGGAAATCACCGTCATATGCCTTTCATGCATACCGGAAGGGAAGCCGGGAAGGCCTCTGTCTTGGGTAGACACGGTCTTGTTCCTAGTCCTTCGTCGAGATGGTCGTGTCCGGTATGGCATGATGGGGTATGTCGCGTGGTGTTTCTATCTGTTGGTTGAAGTGTATGCATTGTTATGCTAATCTTGCAGAGAACATTACAACCTCCTGAGTCGACCATAGATCGAGTCTTGTGCCAGTAACCCCCATACTTGCTTCGTACTACTACTCGTCTCTACCACAAGTAGGGTACGATTCAGTAAGTTGTCAACCCCTTTCCTAGCACACACCGTACAGAGAGGCCATGGTGGAAGATACCGGAGGCATCCGGTAGTCATGCCACTGGGTCCGGGGGCATGGGTGTTTCGGTTGTAGCCGAAGGGGGTAGCTCCCCAGTTTACGCGCGGTATAAATTTTGTGATCCCATGTTACGTCGAGGTTGTAGCCTCCCCACTTAGAGTTTTGCTTGACAGGTGTCGTGGGTGATTCCAGACACATGTGAGTTAAGCTGGTGTGTGCAAGTTAGGTGTGTTTCCAACAAAAAGACCGTAGACGGAATTAGTCTCGATGGACTAAAGGAATCCATCACTCGTGGGTAAAGAGTACACCCTCTGCAGAGATTAAACCTATTCGAATAGCCGTGTCCATGGTTAAGGATTACAGTCTGGGATGGGTCAAGTGTCGGTCTTAGTGTCGGTCTTCGGAGGTGAAACTATTAAACCAAAACTGGAATCACGACTCGTGACTTGTGATAATTATGATTATAATTTTTTGTTGTGAACTAACCCGTGATATTATTGGTATTATCGAATATCCCTGGGATGGTTCTACCTCCTGGATATTCACCATGTTTGTCCTTTTTAAAGCCCTTTATGTGGTGTCGCTAAGACGCCCGACTATGGCATTTCTTTTAAAGCTCTTTATGTGGTGTCGCTAAGACGCCCGACTGTGGCATTTCTTTTAAAACCCTTTATGTGGTGTCGCTAAGACGCTCGACTGTGGCATTTCTTTTAAAGCCCTTTATGTGGTGTAGCTAAGACGCCCGACTGTGGCATTTCTTTTAAAGCCCTTTATGTGGTGTCGCTAAGACGCCCGACTGTGGCATTTCTTTTAAAG